CTGAAACCGTCCAACAGCTGCACGAAGTGCATTTTCCTGAACCGTGTTGGAGAAGCCTTCGTTGGTGACAAGCTCGACGGTGGGTGCACGCCTGAGTGTGAAATCATCGACGAAATCCGGTGCTTGTGCTGCATTAGCGTTTGCAGCGTTTGTTTCGAAGGCATAGCCATGCTTACGCTTCACACCAAGTTGATAGGGCGTTAAATCCACACCTCTCAATGCTCTTTGCGGATCCAGTTTCTGTAGACCGTAGAGATCCGAGTCCACGTACTGAAGGCGTTCGCTGCTGCTTTCCATTAGACTGAGGATATGCTGAACCATTTGCATGTCGGCAACTTTACTCGATTGCGTGACCTCTGTTCCGTTGATCTCCACTCGAATGTTCTTGAACCACGAAAAGGCTGGTGACGTGGTGCACACCCATCGCGTGTAGTCTCCAGGCTGGTTATTGAGATTGTTTTTGACACTATAGCGCATTTTCACGATGAAATAGCTCTCCCCCAGAGCAATGAAATTCGGCGACGAGATGTCTAGTTCATTGTTCAGGGATGGTGGTGATCGATCTGCTGTGGAAAAGAGTCGTACTCCGCGTCTACCCTCAAGCAACGAGAGTTTCTTCTCCGTCCTGTCGAGGATGTTCTTCTGAACGATCTTCGTGTTGGTCAGGAGTCCCGTGAAGGACTCCGGAGCTTGTGGTGAGTATATCTCCTGTGCCATTCTTGCGAGTCACATTATAATAGGGGTGAATTTTTTTCAAAGATCCAATATCCCAGTGTCTTGCGAAAGTCGTTCATCATCGATATCAATCGTTGATGCTCCTCGTTAGTGAGCTTCCCATCTTCAAGAGTAATGCCCAATTCCAACATGAACGAGTCTTCAGCTCTCTCCATCTGCTGCAGTTGTTCAATACACTTGACAAGCTGACGTTTGGTGTCGAGAACGTGTTTACCAATGCATGCCATGATCACACCGATGATCGTGCTACTGATGGCGATGATTCGAATGCGATGTTCTCCAGATACGGCACCACTCCCTTGAAGGATATTGAGAATGGTTTGAATGAGTATGAGAAAGGACAAGATTGCAGTGTTGTAAATCACGTACTTCTCCCGGCAACGCACCTTTTCGCTCTCCAATTTCTTTCGTTTTGCTATATCCTCCACCATGTCACGCACGTGACGGACACGAACATCTGGAAGATCCATCTAAGTAGTTGTGTTGGTGATCCGAAGATCAAGGTAGACGGGATATCCGGAAGTAATGTGTTCACCGGTGTTGAATTTCAACCAGAACGAAATGCTAGTCACGTTTTCGTGTGGAAGCAGCAGTCGTTTGTCTTCTTTCCCGAACACGTAGTTATTCAAACCGTTGAGGGTTTGAATAAGAAAAGTCTTCAGCACCCTCGAATCAGTATTGTCTTCGTACTCCACAGCAGGTCCAATGAGGTCGGTGTAGAGCAGGACAAGTCTTCTGCCTTTTGTCAGATCCACAGCGAACGGGAACGTGTGAGATCCCTCGATCGTGTATGGCTTGAGAATAGTGCCCACACCCAGCACCAATGCGGGTGAGTCCTTCTTCAACAAGCACCGTTTATTCCTGGGTACCGAGACACTTATGCGGCTGGTGTGACGAGAGTAGGAAAACACAATGTCTCCGTGTCCTGCTCGTTTCAGAGTGGCATTGATAATAGACACCAAATCGTCTACATCGCTGTATGTTCCCGTCTTGATGGAAAGTCTATCCTCTTCTTCTTCTTCTTCTTCTACACCATGTACCACATAGAGTTTGTTCGTTGCCTCGTCTATGTTCTCAAAGTGTACTTCAAACTGAGCCGATTCAACATGCAGGACTTTATCACGCGTATCGAGCTCCTTCACATTTAGAGTAAAGTTCGGTTTGTGCAATCCCCTGCTCACGCCCGACGTGTTGTTCGCCACTGTCAATATCACAGACATTCTGGTGTTGTGATGACACTCACTATAGATAGGTTTTATTTTTCATTTTCATCTCAAGAATGTAGTGTAGCATGTGTGCTATATATTATGTACAATCAAAGTAGCACTTTCATATATCGTAGTGTGCCATGAGTTCTGTGTGGATGCGCTGGATTGTGTGAGAAGATAAACTCTCTGCAAAGTGCAAATGACAGAACAACTTTGATGAAGTGCCGTTGAAGAATTGAGTACCACCAATGCTATAATTGCAATCTTCGATTCCATTGGTCCTGGAAAATGGGACAGTGTCTAAGTTGGAATGTATCAAAATGGAGTTTACGTATAGAGTGAATAGGCCTTCTGAATTCCGAGCGTAACTTATGACACACTTTGTACCCAAGAGATCCGTCATACTCGACACAGGTTTATCCAAAGCCGCCGATAATTGGCTGACTACAGACGAAACGGGTATGTTGAATGATGAATGGCCGGGACGCGTGAAGTAGTTGCCACTTATGTGGGTGGCAGTGAACAACACGTACAAACTATCCAAGCTGAAATTTCCGACAGTATCGATATCGAATGCCTTCAATGCCATGTTTCTAGGGTCAGGTGCGTCCACTTGAATTACTTGGAACATTGCAAAAGACATGTTGTCGTGAAACAGATTGACGAATCGTTCTCTAATGGAAACTTCGCTGGGTTGTGTAATGTTGAGGTAGAAGTGATCGTCTCGGAACATGTCGATGCTGTTCACGTTGATTCTCTTGTCCTTCATGTCAACGAGATTTATCCCTCTGTATCTGTTTCTGCTCACCCTGGTGACGGATTCAAATCTGCTAGGATGAGAGTATATGTAGAGGTAGGCGTTTCTCCGAATGAGAGGTAGTAGATGAAACGGATCGGATAGGTTCTGATTTGATTGCGGACCCATGGGGCCTCTGGTTCCTTGAGGACCTATGGGGCCGATGATTCCTTGGAGACCCACGGGACCTCTGTTTCCTGGAGGACCGGTTGGACCGATGGTTCCTTGGGGACCCATGGGACCTGTGGTTCCTTGATCACCTTGCACACCACGTTCACCTTGTGGGCCGTCTTGCCCATCTTCTCCTCTAGGTCCAATCTCACCTTCAGGCCCGACCAACCCACGTTCTCCACGTGGTCCAACTTCACCTCTGGGACCTTCTGGACCAGGTATTCCTTGATCACCTTTTTGACCGCGTTCACCACCTTGCCCATCAGCTCCTCTAGGTCCAGTCTCACCTTCAGGACCGATCAATCCACGTTCTCCACGTGGACCAGCTTCACCTCTTGATCCATGAAGCCGACCAAACGCCTTCCATTTCGAGCTGAATTTCTTGTACACGATGAGCGTGGTTGCATCGAGATAGAAGTCACCATTTCTCCCTACAGAGTTCAGTGGCATGCCACCTCCGCTAAGCCATCCCAATCCCCGATCACCACGAGGTCCTTTCATCTTGCGCACAGTGTCCATACCAGTTTGCAATCTCGATGATGCTTGTTGGATTTCATTCTTGACCCAACCGGCAGGGACAGCACATGTCAAAGAATTATCATCGTACGCCAAATTACAGATGGAATGCTCGTTCATGTTGAGGTTAGCATCCATGGACACGGATCCATCTGTTTTCACGTGCAGCTCATCAGCTGCTATGGCTTGATCTGTGTAGCGCGTAGATCTGTTTTCCACATCTTCCACTTTGCTCTCATCGGCTTTCACCTCTTTCAGTTTCTCCACATCATGAACCAAGGTGTTTTCGGTGTCATCGTTCCCCACAACTGATTGTATTTCGGTAATATCATTCCGCATGCTTTGCATGTGCTTGAGGGAAGTCTCCTCCCCATCACTCCTATGGAAATGCGTAGCCCAGTACGCCATCTTCACACACACACACACACACACACTGTTCTAATTATGATAGGAAATATTTTCTTTCTCAAATAAATCTTTATGATGCTCATAAGAACAGGTAAACAACAGGTAATGCACAACAAACAAGAGCCACAGTCATCATGTTGATGAGTCGACCGTTCATCCTCCTCCTCGATTGTTCATGAATGTGTTTCATGAGGAAATCTCGTGCTAACAACACCTTCGCACGATCGCCTTTCCGTGCCAGCATGTCCAACAGAGTGACTGAATATGCCAAGGTCATCTCCAGGGCAATGACGTCGTTTGACGCATGACTCCATAAACCTTCCATGATGCCGCATATGCAACTTTCAAGTCGTTCAGCTTGTTCACGATCACCATCACCAACAGTAAAGCTCGCAGCATACCTGAGAATGTCAGGTCTCTTCATAGCGACATGTTTAGCAGATGTCCACACGTGAAACAATGTCGAATCACGAACGAACAAATGGTCAATGGCAAAGGCATGACGAGTCTCCGAGCATTCACCTTCATCCTTTGCGTATGTTGCAAGAACATGGTCAGCAACTCGTACTAGCAGATGACACACCTGACATTCGTGAGTCTTGTGATCAGCCGATCCGTTAAGACTCTTTGCAACGTGAAACCATCTCTCGTAAAGGGAATTCATTTCCTAGAATGTGAAGACACGAGGCAACTGATCAATACTGTATCGGGTGAAGGAATGACTCGACTGCATGTCAAGCATGCATATTTATACAAGTCAGAATGGGGTGGGTTGAAAATGCAAAGTTGACAACCAATCACCATCAAGCCCGCCAAAAACAGATGATGTAACCTTGACATGATTGATCTTGTCATGAATGACGCATTCATTGATGGTGTTCACATGAGATCACCCTGGCTCATCTTTCCCAATTCCATTCTTTTCACATCCTGCAACCCATTCTCCACTAGTAGTAGCAGTGGGGATACTAGAGTCCGAAGAGGCAAGGCAGCACTCTTCCGTGGACGTACTACTCGACACAACACCACCCATACTTGTTCTTTAGAAGTTTTTTTTTTTTAATGAGTATCATGAGGTATTGACGTAGAAAGTAGTATAGGATAGTATAGGATAGAATAAGAATGAATGATCAGCTGTGTGATAAAGAAGGCAGTTCATTAAAGACTTATTGGAAGGTCTCTACCAGCTGATCGTCTTGTTGGACGACGACACTGCATAATGATGTGAAGCTCTCAGTCAGCTGTTTCAGCTCCGTGATAGAAAGTGCCATGTGTGCGTCCAGAGCACGATGAAAACATCTGGGTTCCACGTTGATGCAGATGATTGGAGCAACAGCAAGACGTACCTTCATCACTTGCTCGTCAGTGTCTAGGGAGACTGCCCCGGGGTAGATGAATACATCTTGTTCCACATCCAGTTCAAACGAGCTGGCCGGGACTAGCTTGTTTTCACCGTTGATGTACACCCGACATTGACCGTCGGACAAACGTGATGTATAGAAGTTGGTTATGATCTTCTCCACACGTCCACTTCGGAGAGTGTCACGGAGCGATGGACAAGTCTTGATCAAGTTCGTAATGATGAACTCAGTGGACTCGTTCAGTTCGATGTAAACTTGTCCTTGAGCATCTTTGCGAGCTGTTGCCGTACTACCACAGGCTGGCAGAGCTCCCGAAGGGAAGTACATCTTATATCCAGGCTTGTAGAAGGATTTACCAGATAACTTGTAGGGCAGCTGCATGTCCTCCTGAAACCCATCCACCACAATCTCTTTGTGGAGCTTGGTAGGAGCAGGTGATGCATAGCGACGCTTAGCCGGTACTGGCTTCGAAGAGAGCACAACTCGAGGAGGGTCAGCAGGAAGAGCGGAATTCTTCTTCATCCTTCGCTCGTATAGGGAAGCCATCTTCTAGGAAGTGAAGTCAGGACAACTCGTCAGCACTGTATTCGATGAACGAATGACTCAACTGCAGACAATCATTCGTATTTATACGAGCCAGAGAGGTATGTGGATTGAAATGAGAAGATATGTGTCAACCAATCAAGCCCGCCAAAAACATTTCACCAATCAGCATCAAGCCCGCCAAAAACATTTGACCAATCAGCATCGTGCCCGCCAAAATCATATCTCATTATAAAGATTCCTTACATGATACCGCCACCTTGGTGAATTGATACAGTATGGAAAGAAGATCACAGTCAAACGTGTGCATGTTCTGGATCACGTGATCAAGTGAATAGATTTCCCAGCAATAAGCATCAATCAATGATGTCATAAGAGACATATCAGATTGAGATAAAAGCAGCAAATTCGAACGCAACGTGGACAATTGCAATGAAGACACCATCCTAGTCGACTCCATGAGATGCAGTACGTATAGGAGTGGAAAATGCTGAGGAAGAGGTTTCATGATTCGACTGAACCTCAACCAGGCTACATTGCTATGAGGTAAGTAGGAATACAGTTTACGTAATGCATCCACATTCGTATCGTATACTATACAGGATAATGCTATAGCATAATTTATACTCTTGTACAAACAGGACTTCTTCATCGCACGTATCTGCTCTCGAAGAGGGTGTACACGAAGCTGATCGGATAAGAGTTCAGTTTTCGAAAGAAAATGCAAAAGATGACGATCCACACCACATAACCGCTCATGCGCAGCGTAAGGCTTCTTCATCAAACTACATCTCTGATGCACATTAACTTCAGGTAAGTAAACCACATCCATGACAAGTCCACAAGAAGAACATACGTATCTTCCTTCATGAACAACATGATCAAGATGATGACACTGCTTTTCCTTCCCTTCTTGCTCTTCTTCTTCTTCTCCTCCTTCTTGTTCTTCTTCTTCTTCTTGTTCTTCTTCTTCTTCACGAAGTCTCTTTTCACGTACATAGGCACGTAAGATCTCTAATTCAGAATCCATCTTCACCCCACACCATCATCTTCATAGTGAAACATTATCCATCAATATATCTACTTTTATACCCACTCCTATCCGGGGATAATAGCAAAATACTCCTGAAAAAAATAAATAAAAAATGAACAGAATAAAGATTAACAATGACGATAAGTGTGCCTTATTCAACCCAAAGGTCAAAGGTCAAACCCTGGGGGGGGGGGAGTCCCGGGGTCAGACTAAGCACGACCGACACAGTGTGCCTTATTTGGCCCAAAGGTCAAAGCAATAGAAGAAAGGCATTCACATCTCAATCTGATATCATAGTCGAAAGATTCCAAACCCGAACAAAAAAGACTCACCATGACGGGGGCGTCTTTCCGCTTTCGAAACACATCGTGTTCTCCAAGGTCGTCACCTCCCCGTGGCGTGACCCCTTGGTCTTGTTTGAGACGTCTAGACGTAGCCTTGTTTACAAAGGTCATCGCGGCGTGAACTTTGACCTCGAGGTGAAGTAGTCTCAACCTGCAGTTTCATTATCGACTCCTTCTTGCAGTGTGAAGAAGCTAAAATGGCGTGGACATTTTCTGAGACGTGCAGAGCAGAGAAATGGTATTTATTTTCATGCGATAATGAAGAGTTCTCAATCCGTCGCCTCAGTGCTAGCAAGACAACCAGGGATCTTGACCCGATGATAGCACATCCCAGAAGATTCGATATGTCACCACTCACTGCTGCTGAGTATATTATCTGCAGGGTCACCAGTCTGATCTTGAATGTGAAGAATAGGAAACAGCACCTTCCTAAAATCGTCATCGGTGGTGTGGAGGACTACGGAACTATTAGTGAGACTGATGATGATGTCATACTGCGAAGGTGGACTGATGGTAGACACTCATTCTACAAGCTTAGTGACATGCGTGACGAACCGTGCTCTCAACACATCATCGACCTCTTCGCTGATGCAACCTATTTGGATTCCAGCGACGTAATGCAACTTGTCAAGGAGGTGAACGAAAAATGAAGTCTCTCGAGTTGATCGTGTGCGTGTACGACGTAGTACCAAGGCCGTTCAACTCCGTGCCGTTGCAACAAGAGTAACGCGGATTCGTGTGCGAGTTGGTACGATCGACATCGGCGACGATGGATTTATCTCCAAATTACCCGAGTCGACTGTTGACACGATGGCGGTGCAAAGGAGGTCGTCGACTGACAGTTCCATTGCTGACTGGGTGGAACCATTGGTGCACATCAGAGCGTCCGACAACTCCACCTCGTACTGCGTGTCACGGAAGAGATCATGGGTGAATCCATCCTCACACGTATTCGAAGAGTAAACTTTGTGGTCTCTCATCCAATACTAGCTTGATGAAATCAGGACAACAAGAACTGAATTGTACTACCTTTCTCCTCCACTCCATTGCGATATTCACTGTTCGTTCCATTATTCTTTGTAATGACATGTATCGTATCTATCAAGAACTGACCTTTCTGACGTGTGTGCGAGCAGGACCATTTTTGAAAAATTGCATGGGGAGGTGGGGTAGGTCACGGAAAAAACTTCATGATAAACACCATATTCAACATTCTACTTTTTATACCCACTCCCATCCGGGGCAAGGTGGCCCAAAAAAGTGAGATTCAAACCCACATGTGCACAACACATATTTTCAATAATACCCCATTTTTTTGAGGTAGGGGCACCCCCTGGCACATATTTTTATCCGCAAAAAAACCGGGCCAAAAATAATTTTCACCGCAAAAATGGGGTACTATTAGTACCCCATTTTTCAATAATACCCCATTTTTTGGGACCCGGGCGCCCCCTGGCACAGAACCCGCTCGTCCCTTACTACTCATGGGGCAGGACAGCACTCGTCTGCCGTAGATGAGGTGGGATGGAGTAAGTGGTTCTTCCATGTCCTCTGAAGACACATACGAGAGAGGCCGGCTGTTCAAGATTGCCTCAATCTCCAGCAATGTTGTGAGCAGTTCCTCGTATGTCACCTTGGAGAGGTGTAGGATCTTCTTGAGACAACGCTTGACACATCTCACCATTCTCTCAAAGAACCCGCCCCACCAGGGGGCCTTCTCCGGATTGAAGGTCCAACGTACGCCGTGGTCTGCCAAGCGACTCGCCACTTCTTCCACGGTGAACAGTCCTTCCAGCGACTTCGCGGCTGCCTTGAACGTCTTGCCGTTGTCGGACTTCACCTCTCTTGGTAGTCCAAACCGGGCAATGAACCGTTGGAAACAACGCAGGAACAACTCTCTTGACATATCAGGCAAAAGTTCCAGATGGAGAGCGCGAGACACTGCGCAAGTGAAGAACGCAACATACGCCTTGCGGGTCTCATTGCCATCCTTCACGTACAGGGGACCAGCAAAATCCACGCCTGTGTACGTGAATGGAAAGTCCACGGTTGTACGGAACTGAGGTAGCGGTGGTGTTTCTGGCGTAGAGTATGATGGACCCTCGTGTCGCTTGCAGGTTGTGCATTGGTTGATAAGTCGACGTACAACTTGGCGACCTCGGACGATCCAATGCTGACTTCGTACTTCTGTCAGCGTCTCCTTGACACCATTGTGGCCAACAATTCCATGGCAACGTACCACAACAAGACTGGTGTACGGGTGGTTGGCTGGCAGTAGAACTGGGTGGATCTGACTGAACGTGAGTTTCGCATTCTGCAGTCTTCCACGACATCGCAGAACACCGCTGTTGTCTTCGTAAATACCGAACTCACGAACCCAGTTCGCATACTTCGGGTCTTGGGTTGCCTCTCTCTGAATGTCCTGAGCCCAGACCGCCTTCGCTTTCTCCATGTCGTCAGCAGAGACGAAAATCTCAAGCTGCTGCACTTGCATACGCCTGACTGCTCGCTGTACCTGGGCTGTGACTCGTAGCAGCTTGGTCAGACTGCTGTAGCTGGTGATATCTGTCACGGTGGAGATGCCCTGGGTCGGCGCAGTGCTTGCTACACATACTTGTGCCACTTTCTTCTTCTTCTCAGCTGTGCACTCTTCTGGCACTTCTCCCTCCTGGGGCTGTTGGCCGGGTGGTCGGTTTGCAGTGTGCAACCAGGCTGGACCAGTCAGCCACATTGACCTGTGGAGTTCTGCGGGTGTTGTGCCCCGAGACGGGAGGTCCGCAGGATTGAGCGTCCCTGGGCAAAAGCCCCATGCTCCTGTGCCAGTCAGTCGGTGGATTTCATCCACGCGATTCTGGACAAACTGTTTCCACCTTGATCCTCATTGGTGATCCACCCGAGTGCGACTTGCGAGTCTGTCCAACAGTGAAGAGATGAGATGAGAATCATCTTCTCTAGAGCTTGCCTCACTGTGGCCATTAGGCGAGCTAGGATCAGAGCTGATAGCAGTTCCAGTCTCGGGATTGTCTGCTTGGCAGTTGGGGCCACCCGCGTCTTGGCCATGACCAGTTGAACTGCCACCTCGTCACTTTCTACTTTCAAGTAGACCACGGCACCGTAAGCCGTCTGGGAAGCGTCACAGAACCCATGCAGAGATACCGGACCACTGCTGATAGTGCTGCTGCAGTAGCGATGAGGAACTCGTATCGGCGAGGCGTTCTGCAGTGAGTTGACGAGAGCGGTCCACGCTTGAGCCAATTGTGGCGATATTGGGGTGTCCCAATCTAGCCCGGCCACATGCAGCTGCTGCAGAAACAACTTCAACTTTATGGTGACGGGTGACACTAAGCCGAGGGGATCGAAGATGCGGGCGGCCTCTGATGACACTGCGCGCTTCGTCATTCGGGTGCTCGGCTTGGCGAAGATGGCTGCTATGTCCACGACTAGTTCATCGTGCACTCGATTCCACTTGACGCCTAGAACTTTGTCGTTCTTGCTGCTGTTTAGTGATGTCTTGGCATACGTCAGGTCATCTTCCTGAGGTGATATGGAGCAAGTCACCAAAGCTGACTTTTCAGCGGTGTCGATGTGCTGCTGGACGGAGATAGAACTTGATGCAAACTTGCGGATGTTGAAGCCACCGTCACCCATGCGCTCCGTCAACTTGGAGTAGAGAGTGACTGCGCTTTCCTCATCGTCCCCTCCGGCAGCCAAGTCGTCAACGGACATCGAATCGCCCACAACGCTGACGAATTCAGGGTCATCAACTTGATACTTGTCCAGATGATGTTTCAGGGTTGCGTTCAGCAGGAATGGACTTGAAGTCAAGCCGAACATTACGCGTGCAAACCGAAAAACCTTGATTTGTCGGTTTGTTGAAAACGGATCATCCCACCATAGAAACCGAAGCACATCTCGGTCATCCTCACCGACGCGGAGCATGTGAAACGTTTTCTCGATGTCACCTGTCAGGGCAATGGCATGGCAACGGAAACGCATTAAGATATCGGGTATCTTCTCCAACAGATTGGGTCCCGCGTTGAGACAGGTGTTGATTGACGGGCCCTTGCCTGAGCGGGATGACGCATCATACACGACACACGGACCTTTGTGGTGGTCTTGTCCTCTCGGACAACGGCTTGATGTGGCACATAGTGCACGTTTCCCACATCACCACATTCCGGGTCCTTGACTTCCTCGATGATGCCTGCTGCCAACTGCTCCCTCATCACCCTAGCATACTCATTGAAGAAACTCGGTGTATTCTCCAGCTTCAGGGTCAGGGACATTAGGCGCTTGTTGCTGATTCGAAAGTTGGCGGGCAGCGTTGCATGGACTTCCTTCCAGGGGAGTCGCACGGTGTAGCGTCCCTCTTCGAACGTCACCGTCTCATTAAATGCTGCTTGGACTTGATTTTCCGTGATTGGGTGTATCCCAAGAGACTCCAGCTCCCAGAATTGTTGCAGCTGCTGATCAAGGACCTGCGCCGTTAAGCTGTGCACCTCAGTAGCGAGGCATGTGCCTGTCGTACTAGTTTTGCCTGATGCAGGACCAGACAAGACCCAGACAAGACGCGTATGGATGGCTGTCGGACCAGCGGCCGTCGTGATCGTCTTGCCCATCATAAATTGCCAGTACTGATCGGCTCCAATCAATAGATCGATTGTGGCTGTGCCGTCGCTGTCGTCTGCCAGTGTGAGGCCTTGGAGCGCACCGCAGCACTGGACTGCTTGTGCAGGGTGCTGGTTCTGGACTGGTGCACAAATTGCATCAATCACGACACACTCCAGCTGCAGGGGTCTCCCTCCGTACTCTGCACGGTCAGATTCACCACGTCTTTCAAACCGCTGTCCCCACCAGAGCCTTCACCAAAGGCGTTCACTTTCAAGCATTCCTGCCTGCCTGTCTTTAGGTCCACCTACCTTTGCACATCATGTGTCACGAACGAGCGCTGGCTCCCTCCGTCGAACAACACCCTCACAGGGATCCCGTTGTCTCGGATCGGTATGCTTGGTGCGACGATGGCTTTAGCGTTCTGCAGCAAAACCATACTGTTGTTTTTGCAAGAGGATGTCAGAGCACTGACAGACGACAGTGTAACGCTGCTGGCGGATGGATTGGTCGGTCCCTTCTTGCTTGGAGCCCATGCTGCCCTAGACTGGTTGTTAGCGGCCGGCTTCTTTTCATAGCGTGACGTGGGTGGTGTTACAGGTGATGGCCTGTCAGATGTTGAGTCACACAGGGTAGTGTGGTGTCGACGTTGGCACTTGGCGCATTTCAACTTCGACTGACAATGACGGATTATGTGGTTCGGTTTCAGACACAGAAAGCACCTTCCGTTGCTCTTAACTATGTCCTTCCGCTTCTCTGTGTTTGTAACGACAGAGCACCTGGCCGTCTCATGACTCTGTCCAAAGAACACGCAACTGGCACTTGCCGGGGAAGTAAAGGCTGCTAATGCTGCTGCTGTTGGCTGTTCTCTGTAGGTCTGTTTGTTGCGTGTACCGGTCCCCTCAGGCTGTGTGGTGATGCCAGTGAGTGTCTCCTGTGCTGTTGTTCTGTAGTCCGCTTCTCTCAATGCCCAGGCCAGCAGAGTGCATACCGTCTCCGCTTCACCTCTTTCTGTCATCTGGCGGTAGCACTGCGTCAAGAGAGACTGTGGCAGTTTCTTCAGGAGCTGCTGATAGAATGCACCAGCCTGAAGTTCCTGGCTGCGTCCGGCGTCTTCTAGGTGAATGACAGCTACTTGGAGAAGATCAGCGAACTTCTCCAGATCCTGGGCAGCTCGTTCCATTCGTATCACTGGTAGCCTCGCCAGCCCCTCTGTATGCACTGCTGTCTGTCTTCTATCGCCACCAAACTTCTGTTCTAGATGCCTGATTGCTGCGGTGTACGCTGCTGCTGAGTATCCATAAGATTCTATCGCTTTCAATGCTGAGCCCGTCAAACACTGACGTAGTTGCAATAATTTCAGCTCTGGCGATAAATCTTTCTGCTCTACGCAAACCGAGAATGCTGCTTTCCATGTTCTGTATGCTGTTTTATCACCACTAAACGTAGGTATCTTCACTTTCTTCAGGTGTCGGTAGACGTCTGTTGGTGCTGCTGTTGACGATGTTGAGCTGGCGGTCATTCCAGACCAACTGGTCTGCGCGGGTTGCTGCTGCTGGTATTGTTGCTGTTGACGCTGCTGCTGCTGCTGCTGTTGCTGTTGTTGCCGCTGTTGCTGCTGCTGTTGTTGCCGCTGCTGCTGCTGTTGTTGTTGTTGTTGTTGTTGCCGCTGCTGCTGTTGTTGTTGCAGCCCAGACAACGGCTGTGGCCTGGGCCTCGGTAGCGGCGTGGAAAACCGCTGCGGCGGTAGAATGCGTGATAACGGCTGCGGCATAGACGACGGCTGCAACGTAGACAAAGGCTGCGACGACTTCGGCACATAGACTGACTGGGACGCGTACAACGGCGGCAACGAGTGATGCGACACAGGCAACGACTGCTGCGACACAGGCAACGACAAGGACTGATCTGCATACAACAGCGGCAATGACTGCTGCGACACGGGCAGCGACTGCTGCGATACAGGCAGCGACTGCTGCAACACGGGCAGCGACTGCTGCGATACAGGCAGTGACTGCTGCGACACGGGCAGCGACTGCTGCGACACGGGCAACGGCAAATGGCGGCAACGACTGCTGCGACACAGGCGGCGACTGCTGCGATACAGGCAGCGACTGCTGCAACACGGGCGGCGACTGCTGCGACACAGGCAACGGCAAAGACTGATCTGCCGACAATGGCGGCGGCGACTGCTGCTTACACACAGTAGCCATAAATACAAGAGATGCATGCAATATCTAACAGGAAGTAAGGGCGAAACCAACCACGGACTGAGGGCAAAAATGCAAATTAAAGAGAAAAGACAATACATAAATAAATAAATATAATAAATACTTCGAAGTAAAATTAAATAATAGCAATAAAGAGAACAAATTCTGCTGTCAACGCCACACTACAACCAAGTCATGAAAATCACCAAAATTTATTTTCTTGTCACATTCATTATACATTCATTATTATTATTATTATTATTATTAGACACAATCTCATAGCATGTGACAAGCATAGCTAATGCAGGGACAGAATCCCCTGAGAAAAGGGCGTTGAGCCAGCCACGTCGTACGTCTAGACTAATTGATAGTTGAAAGTAGGGTGCGGTTTGACATTTTGTGCTCCGAGGATTAGCCTCGAGGTGCGTCTCTCTACAGAACTACCCCTCCCCATTATTGCTTAGAACTAATAGAAGAGACCAACAGTACCAATGGCGACAAACGAAGGCATGGACCTGGCTTTGGTTGGCTATGAGGAGCTCATCAAGATCGGCGAGCAAATGTCTGTGGATAAAGCCTCGAGCCTCTCCCGGCTGGATCTGGTGAGCAAGCTGAGGAAGCGTGGAGTGGGCGTATTGGCGCAGAGTTCGCTACCCACATCGGAGCTCCAACTTGCAATTGTAAGCCTTACTTACAGAAAAAAAAGTCGTAGCTGAAGAGTAACCATGCTGAACAGTGATTAAGTATACATTCAATAATGTGTTACGAAAACAAAATAAAGTGCTAAAATAGAATGAGGGAAGGTGAGACAATAGAAGTGAAGTGAGAGCCAAGTGCAACGGCGGGTGAGAAAGTAATTGTAATGCTAGAACTGTGTAGTGAGACAAATAATCATGCTGCGCACCTACGAAAACAATATTAACGCAACTACACGTTTCTTCTGCTTACAAAAATCAGGCTTATGCAAACGTATACAAACAGCCTCAAGTACTTTCATTTCACTAGCAACGTGCACGACAAAGAACAGAAAACTAAAATCATCATACACCTGCAGACACTTAGGGTGAGACACCAAATGAAGAAAAACGTCAGACTTCTTACGATCACAATCACCATCCGATTCCTCGCCTCCAACAACCGCAACCTCGTCCTCCGTCTCATCTTCCCACTCCTCATTAGTGCCGTCCTCCATGTCATTCTCCTCATCAACACCGATCGGTCCCAGGCTCGCTTCAGGTTGCTTAACCTCTGTTCGTTGACTCCTCCTTTGATCATGATGGTTAATTGTTACCATTGTTGCTGTTGTTGTTGTTGTTGTTGTTGTTGTTGTTGTTGTTGTTGTTGTTGTTGTTGTTGTTGTTGTTGTTGTTGTTGTTGTTGTTGTTGTTGTTGTTGTTGTTGTTGTTGTTGTTGTTGTTGTTGTTGTTGTTGTTGTTGTTGTTGTTGTTGTTGTTGTTGTTGTTGTTGTTGTTGTTGTTGTTGTTGTTTCAAATCTTTATTCTCACGATAGCCAGTGGCCAATAAGAGATAATAGTGTAAGAAAGGAGAAAGAGTGAGGAAGAATTGGGTGGGCAGGGCCTAGGGGTTAATGACTACTTAAGTCTACGGGCAGGGGTGGTCGCCAGACGAGCATACAGAGTTGCGTACTTAAGTGTACGGGCAGGTGTGGTCGCTACACGAGCATACAGAGTTGTGCAACAGCAGGGATATCTCGGATTTGAAGGGAGTACGAGAAGGGATTTCGCGAAGCTGGGTGGGCAGGCAATTAAAGTAATGAAGGGCCTTGTACAGGGGAGAATGGAGACAGCGGTCAGTCCGCGGAGTTGGCAAGTGCCAAGTACGAGAGCGACGTAAATTATACGAAGGTTGCACGTTGCTAGCAGTACGCAGCGAGAGTATATGTGGTGGAGCATAATTGTGGCGCAGAGAATGCGCGAAGAGTATATGTTTAACTTTAAAGCGTGAAAATAATGTTGGCTATTTGATGCGATGCAAAAGGTGGGAGTGTTCTAAGTGTGTGTAAAGGGGAAGGTGGAGACATATTCTGGCGGCTTTCCGCTGGAGTCGTTCTAGCCTGTCAAGGGAAGTGTGGGACAACGGTGTGAGAGCATTGCTCGCATATGAGAATATAGGTAGTGTGTATGTCTGATAGATGTGAGATAAAGAATCACTGGTGAG